GATTCCTGTTTTCACACTGGTTGTGTGCTGGTTCACAGAATGTTCTAATCAAGGCTGCCATACTGTCTGCGTACACATGACAACTCAGAGGACAGTACAATCAATTACACTAATTAAAAATAATGTTAAATTTAACACATCTGTTACCACCAAACTACAGAGCAAAAAATGTGCATGAAAGATCTAAATCTCCACTGATTTATGGGCACAGTCCCAAGTGCTTGTTAAATTTTCATAAGTCTTTACTAATTGTATTTAAAACTTCCTTTCAGCTCAGACTTGCCTCCACTGGCCTCGCTGGCCCTTCCCAAGGGCTGCATGGACCTCGGGTTTACCCCCTGACCCCGTCACCTCCTTACCATACCTGCCACCACTCTGCTCCGAAAGCATACTTCTAGTCAAATCATTCTCCTTATCAAAAAATTTCAAAGACTCAGAACTGAAGACAAATTTCTCATCCCAACAACAAGTCTAAAATCTAAAGTGAGCTTGTCTGTGTCCTAAAAGCTCTATGTGTGTGTGTGTATGTGTGCATGTGCACACATGGAGACTGTTTCAGAACACGTCCTGCCCTGCTCCTCACTCAGCCTGACCTGAGCCCCACATTTAAGGTGCCTCGCAAGTGCTAGCTCTCCTGAGATCATCATTCCTCAACCTCTTCTAACCAAAGCTATTTTCTCTTTAAATGATAACCCAGAACATTTCACTTGTTCCTCAAATAGCTCTCGGCCTCATCGCTGTTGAGTCAAGACTGACTCACAGCTGACCCTCTAGCAGGTTTTCAGAGACTTCATCTTCCTCCGCAGTACAGTGGATGGATTTGAACCACCTGCCTTTGGGGTTGGCAGCACATGTTCTTATCGATTAAGCCACCATGTAACTCTCGCAACATAGTTATATATGCAGTGATATCTGGGTATTACCATACCCATTCTCTGTTACATAAAAAATGAGTTGACCTGAAACCCATAGCGTCCCTTTCCAGCAGGAAGTAGCTAAGAGAATACGCCATCCCCTTTTCCTTATGAATCAGGGTGAAGTCTCTCTCAGGGAGGAGTGATAGGGAATGGCAAAAGACACACTGACAAAGGAGATTAATCAGAACTGGCTTTGACAAGCACTGTGGCAACTGGACAATTAAAACAGACTTTCAGGGGGAGGGAAGAAGAACAAACTGGGGAGGAGGGTAGAGAAAATAGTGCAATAATGAATGGATGAAAACCCAAAATCTCTATAAATGTTCATTAAAATTAATAAAAGTTAATAATAAAAAAACCCTCAAAACACATATCTAACATCACCAAAAAAAAAAAAAAATTAGTTGAGGGCAAGCATTAGTCTCTACAAGTTTAATGCAGACCTAACTCCAATAAATGTTGGTAGAATTGAGTCAACTTCCCACCTTGATCTCCACTGACCTCTGACAGATTTCCATGCCTCAAACAACGTTGGTTCCCATTTCTTAGTCTCCTTCCTTATCTCACCTTATGTAGGAACCAGAGGTACTCCTGTTTGCCTGAAGGAAACATCTGGAGTCCTGACTCCATCCCTCTATTTGCTCACCATTTCTGAATGAAATAACTAATAACTTAGCCCTTCTCTCTCAAAACTTCAAATTCTCCTGACCTTCCATGGAAAGGAGCCCTGGTGGCATAGAGCATAACTCATAGGCCACTAACCAAAAGGTCAACAGTTCAAACAACCAGTGTCTTCCCATGAAGGTTTACAGCCTCAGAAGCCTGATGACAGGTCTCAATGAGTCAACACCAATGTGAGAGAACTAGAATTTCTTCCTGATTCTTTGTGACATCTCCCTACCAACATCCCCACCAAAAGCCACCCTACACGAGAAGAACTTAAAGTGAGAAGAAGAGAAAATTCTCTTTAAAATAATTTTTTTCATTCTCCTACTCTCAAAAACGTCCTTAACAATAAACTGGATAGAAAAACTATGGTACATTCACACAGTGGAGTATTATACAGCACTGAAAAACAACTAGTAAAGCACCACATAACATGGGTGAGTCTGGAGGACATTAATCTGAGTGAAATGCCTCAGCGACAAATGGACAGATAATGCATAAGACCACTGTTATCAAGAAAGAGTGACACAGAAGAGTGGGAGGGGAGAACAGGAAAAGAGTGGATAGATAATGAACACTGTACTGGAACAGATGAAGGAAAGGACTGTCTGAAAGGAATGTATGATCGGGCATTATATGTATGACACAACCTGGTACAAGAAGTGCATTATAAAATGAACTGGGGGGTGGGAAATGGAGGGGAGAGAGGACAACATGAATCAATGAACAAATGAAACCCAACCTTTTGTAAACTTTCATTAAAATCACAATCAAAATGAAAATAAAGGAGACTCTTATCAGGTTTTTCAGAAAAACCTTACATGAATGTTGAGGATGAAGAACAGTAGAAGAAGCAATTTGGGGCCTGGTTGCAGGAGAAAGATGGACAGTGTTCTCCTGTGTGACCTACTGCCCCTGAAAACCTGCTGGAGAGTCAGTTATGAGTCAGTTCTGACTCACAGGTACATAACAGCAATGTCCATTAATATAATCAGATGATCCTTACTGTGAAACCTGGTAAATGTAAAATGTCACTAACCACTCTCCAGATTGTTCTCTCTCTACCCTCTATATCCCATGTTTCATAGGAATTTCATAGGAAGGGGAAAAGATTCAGTTCTTGAGAAACAAATATCTTGGGAAAAAAACCAAAACAGGGGCCTTTAAGTCTCCAGAAACTAGAAATTACTGCCCACTGGAAAGACAGTGATAAGGCACAATTTCTGGAGACTCTAAATGTCAACAGAAAGAAAACTATAAATAGGCAGACCACCTACAGAAACCTGAAGTCTTAGATCAGAACTTGTCAGAAAGCACCCAATTTTAGTGTGAGAAGGGACTTCTGAAGTAATTTTCCACCCATCACTTCCTGACCAGGCCACCTTGTACATTTTTACACTTATAATCACTGCCTAGCCAAAATGGAACCTCTTCAACCTCTTCATGGATAGGATTTTCTCTCTTCCTTTGTTCTACTGGAAACAAGTTTTTGAGAAAGAACCTTGTCACAAGTCCTCACTTAAAAAGTCCAAAGACCTGGGCTGCTTTTGTGTCAATTTTCCATGGTGGGATGCTTGGGGAAAAACAGGATACATGAATGACTTTGGCATTTTCTCCTTCAATGGCTTCATTCTGTACATGAACAAACTAAATCACAGAGAACTTTGAGAGCTTGTCTTTTTGCTCTCTATGCTTTCTGGTCAGAGTAACACTCATGGATCAACCAGAGATTTTATTTGCAAAAGATGTTATTTTTCATTTTCGTGTTAAGTGCCATCAAGTTGACTACAGTTCATAGCAGCCCGGTGAACAACAGATCTGAACCTGGCTCTGTGCTACATCCTGCATACAATAAGGGATATGCTTATACCCACGGTTGCAGTCACTGTGTCAATCCACCTTGTTGAGGGTCTTCTTCTTTCCTGACCCTCCCCACCTTTCCAAGCATGCTGTCTTTTAGCAAGGACTGATCCCTCCTGACAACATGCCCAAAATACAAGATGAAGTTTTGCTATTATTGCCTCTAAGGAGTACTTTGCAGTTCCTCCAAGACAGACATGCGATGTTCAGCCTTACATGTTCAGTCATAAACTCAGATTTGTTGAAGGCAAGGACTCTTCTAAGAATCCTATGATCTTCCAAGCACAGTCAACTTATCTCTCTGCTCTTGCTTCAAAGGTCAGGGTAACAGCTTCAGCTGAGAAGCTCAAGTTGGGGCTGTGAGAACAAAGTAAGTTTTTCACAACAAAGGATGGAGACTGGGAGAGTCAGCAAGCAGAAAAGGCAGCCTATAAGAGGATGGCCAGAGAAAAGGAAGAGATTTAGCCTGCCCTCAAGTTCAGACACCATGAGACGTGCCCACAAAGCCAGCACTCAAAATACTTGCTAAATGTTGACTGAAAATAACGGGTTCTCTATCTCTATGATGTGGGGAGACAGACCTGCCATAGTATCAACAATGGTTTTTCCCTAGCATCCTACTCCTAGACATCTTCACAATCTTGCTCCCTTAAATCTACAGTACAGAATAAAATACAGTGTCAGAATAAAATGCTGAGCTCAGTTAGGAAGGCAGCTTTCTTTCCATCAGAATTCTGAGCATGGATGCTTTAACTACAGTCAGGAAATACACACAAAAGATTGGCTAACCACAGGGTGACAGACAGACAGAACTGTGCGTCTGTGCTTCAGAAGTGAAGATTGATGAGACCAATTTTGAAGCCGTTATGCCTGCATCTTCTAGGTTAGAGATGGCAGTGATTTTCCCCCCCCCAAGCCTCATGTCTCAAACTCCATTCTTCTGCAGTTATCACAGTCATCATTTTATATAACCTACAGAAAATGAGTCACTTTATGATAAAGTAGCATTTTAGAACTCTGGGTCTCCTGCTAGTCCTATTCAATTCCACAGCTTGGTTAGAAAATAACAATTTTTAGAAAACGTAATAAATGTTTGAAATACCAGCAATCCAATTTTATATATCAGCAGTTAAGTGTATCAAATAATAATTTAAGATTATATGTGTAAGTATTAAAATCATTAGCCTATTTTATATACTATTACATTTTATCAATAAATATGGAATATATTTTAACTGGTCATCTAGAGAGGTACCAAAAGGTACTACCCAAAAGGGCAAGGCATATTTTTCACCACTGGATCTCAAAGCCCAATTCAGTCCATGAACACTGTAGGATGGAAGGGTAGCTGTACAAGACAGGTGACAAAATGAAATGGAATAACCATTTTTCCAATTATTAAAAAAATAAACTTCTACTTGACTTAACGAGACTCTGTCTTCAAGATTCACATATAATATTGTTAGCTGAATGTGAGATGGTCCAGGATTTTCTAAAGTGCTTGTCCACTAGCATAAAGGATGTTCAGGTAGGTCAAAGGTCTCCATTCACACTCACCTGCCATGTCGATGGCAAAAGGCCTGTCAGCTCTCCAGCCAGTGTACCAGCCAACAACCTTACCATTTTCCACCAATGGCCGTTCGTAGCGTCGTCCCCCAACCAGGCCCACTGGCCAGACTGAGACTTTGCGTGTCGTTCGCATCTGTGGAAAAAGAAAAGAGATGTGCATTGGATTTCCTCGGGGAAAAGAACTTAGGAAGGAGGGAAAAAATGAGATCCACCTAGCGGTGGGGGTGAGGGTGGGGGTGGTAGGTGGTGCTGGGGAGGAGGGAGGGGGAGGGGGGAAATATGGAGGGAGGGAGGGTGGGGGTAGGAAGAGAGAGAGAGGGGTAGGGAGAGAGGGGGGTAGGAGGAGAGGGAGAGAGAGAGAGAGTGAGTGTGTGTGTGTGTGTGTCTAAGGGAGTATGCCAAACTCAGACACTTTTCAACAGAACCTAGCTACTGTACTTTGTCACTGTTCGGCTACGTGCTCACTCCCAAGTTCAGGCAGTGCTCAAGGCTTCAGAGAAATAAAGTGGGTATCGACACCTGAGCATTGCTTATTTGAAGTACGTTATGCCTGTCAAATATTTTCTGTTTGCTTCAAATTTGGAGCTTTTAAACAATATTTTCTAACTTCTGAAGTGAGGTCTTTTCCTCCTTTTGGAAACTTTATTGCTTGGTTACAGCACACACTTCACTTGGAGGGGCCACAGGAGTCTGCTTCCTCTGAAGTTTTTTATTGCTGCAGATGTGCAGAACGCTTGACTGGGGACATTAATAACGGGATCCAGCTACAGAGCAGGCACCAGCCATCCTCCAGAGTGACAGAAAGAAAAATGTTCACTAAATCCTCCCGCCTTTCAAGGACAATTGAATCAAACTAGAGAGGAAAACACTTCATACGGGCAGACTAAGTAGCCAGTCCTCTTGTTGGCACACACTGTAGTGCCTTGAAAACCTGGTTAAATCCAACCCTCTACTGAAAGTTATTTATTGAATTTCTTTAAAGAGAACATGCTCACAAGAAAGCGTGCTAACACCAGATAGAGTTTTTAAGGAAAACTACACTGTGATCTTCTTTAAGGCCCTGTGGTGACCAGGGCTAACAACTAGCTCACATGGCACCTTTGTGCAAACTAGAAGTCATCCTTCCTGAGGCAGATGCACTCCACACCAGGTCCAAGGTTTGGCCATCAAAGTGCCAGTGAAGGTTACCATGAGCCAACTTCAGGGCCACTAGTCTTCCATGGGTGAGGCTCAGGCATGATTCCCTATCAATGCACCTCATGTGCAACCAACAACTGTCCACCAGCAGAGGCCTGTGTATTGCTATGGTGCTGAAAAGGCTTCAGTGGAGTTTCTATGTTGCGGAATGTTGGGGAGAAAGGGAAGGCCTCCAGCCAGGACAGATCACCTAAGCTCCAGATAAATGTAAGCCTCCCAATGGCCTTGGATACGGGGTAGAGAAAGCTCCCCTGTGTTTGGCTGTTCCAGCTTGAGAAAGCTCGCCACCTGGGAAGATGGCTGCCGTGAGCTGAGAGTAGTTCGCACAAGGCTGAGGTTCTCCTAACCAATCCGCATGTCCCATGTCTATAAGCCCACCCTATCCTGTCTTCCTGTTCACATGTTTGTATAGCAGTGCACTGCAGACCTCAATAAAATTGAGTTGGATTGACTCTCTGATCCTCTCCCAGAGTGGTGTTAACTCCGTCATGCTTACCCCCATCAGTGTGTTGCTGTTAAGCTGCCAGCAACCTGACAGTGACATTTCTAGATTAAGGACAAGGAAGAAAGGCCTGGCAATCTACTGCTAGAAATCTACCAATGAAAACCCAATGGACCATAATGATCCATTAATTAACTGGTCACAGGGATGGTGCAGAAATGGTCAACATTTCATTCCACTGTGCATGAAGAATCTTGTGCCAAGAGTAAAACTGTAAGCATCTAAAAACGCCAACAAAGAAAAAAACCCAACAACAACAACAACTAAAAAAAAAACCACCAACAACAGTAAAGCTTCTAAGTATGTTTGATGGCAGACTTTTCAATTAAGCAGAACCAGGAAAGATGTGTAAGATTTTGTCCACAGAATATAGTAGGGCTCTAGGTAATAATTTATTGAAAGTTGGGTGTAAACTATTTGGGTGTTTTTTATTTCATTAACAATGAGGTGTAAGCTGATTGGCCATTTTTATTTTATTAATCAGGTATGAGCTGGAAGCCTCTTGTTTAAGCAATCAGGACCTCATGGGTGGGCTTTTGTATTTAAAAATCGATTAAGTTCTGCTTGAGAGTCCCCAGCTTAGAGGAGTTGGATTCTGGAGGGTAGGTTGTTGTGCTTCACTTGAAAGTCAGGTATAAACTGTTGGGTGTTTTTTATTTTATTAACAATCAAGTATAAGTTGATAGGTCATTTGGATTTCGTTAATAATGAGTTGTGGGTGAGAAGGCTTTTGTTTAAATCAATCAGAATGTGGTGTTGTGTTTGGGGAGAACATTGTTTTAAATGGTACAGCATTTGTCTGTCAGTTTGCTGTACTTAGATCAAATGGAGTTGCTGTGATACTGAAAGCTGTGCCACTGGTGTGTCAAATGCCATAAAGGGTTACCTATCAGGAACTTCTTGATTAAGACAGAGTAGGAAGCAGGATGAGCCATCTACTTCCTAAATCACAGGCCTTTGAAAACCCTATAAACACTAAAGGAATTAGGATAGTTAGAGTAGAGTAGTGGTAGAGTCCAGATTGAGAGTAACTGAAATCAAGGAAAATAATAACAAACATTGTTTAATAACCAGAACACAGAATGTATGTACCTTTAATGCTGAAAAACTGGAAATTGTTAAAAACAAAATAGAACACATGAATATAGACATTGTAGGCATTAGTGAGATGAGATGGATCAGCTTTGACCACTATGAATCAGATAATCATATGGTATACCATACAGGGAAAGAAAAAACAGAAAAACAATGATGGTACATTCATAATTAAAAAAAAGCCAATTTCAAGTTCTATCCTGAAATAGTGTTGTCAGTGATAGGATAATATACATATGAATACAAGAAAGACCAGTTAGTAAAACTATTATTTAAAAGTACACTCCTCTATCTGTAGCCAAGCAAAATGTGTTAATGATAATTGGTGACTGGCATGCAAAAGTAGGAAACACTGGAGAAGTAATAGTAGTTGGGAAATATGAGCTTGGTGACAGAAATGAGGCTGGAAACAGAATAACTTAATTTTGTATTTACAATGATTTACTGTAAAAATATTTTTTTAAAAGACACAAACAATGACTTTATACATGGATCTCATCTGACAAGTTGCATAGAAATCAGACTGACTACATTTGTGGAAGAAATCTTTGAAAAAAGCTCAGTATTGGAAGTCCAAACAAGGCCAGGGGAAGATTGTAGATAATATCATCAATTACTCATATTCAAGTTCAAATTGAGGCCAAAGAAAGTACATAGAAACCAAGATATGATCTTAAATCAATTCCATCTGAATTTTAAGATCATCTCAGTAATAGGTTTGGGTCATTTAACACCACTCTTCAAAGACTAGAAGAGTTATGGGATGATACCAAGGATATCTATGAAGAAACAAAAGGTCATTACAAAAAGAGAGGAGAAAGAAAAAATCAAAATGGATGTCAGTTCTAATCCAACAGATGCTCTGCTGGAGAATAAGAGACAATCTCCTCCTGTACCAGTCAGATCCAATTTGATGGTATACACATAAAAATAATAAGTTTTTTTAAAGAAATGGATGTCAGAAGAGACTCTAAAACTTGCACTGGAGTATCAAGAAGCCAAAAAAAAAAAAAAAAAGGGAAAACATGCTGAAGGAAAAGCTGAACTGAAATGTCACAAGGTAGCTCTGGAGGACAAAACAAAGTATTATAATGGAATGTGCAGAGAGCTGAAATTGGAGAATAAGAAGGGAGGAACTTGCTCTGCATTTCTCAGATAAATGAAAAACAAACTTTAGCCTCGTGTCACAATATTGAAAAATGCTATTGAACAACCTGGAAAGTATCAAAAGAAGATGAAGGGAATATGCAGAATCACTGTACAAGAAAGAACTGACTGATACTGAAAATATCAGGAAGTACTATATGAACAGGTGCCAATGGTAATAATGGAGGAAGGAGAAGCTGCATTGAAGGCATTGGTAAAAATAAGGCCCCAGGAATTGATGGGATACCAACTGACTTGTTTCAATTAACAGGTGCAGCCTTGGATGTGCTCACCAGTCTATGCCAGGAAATTTGGAGGATAGCTATCTGGCCAACAGATTGGAAGAGGTCTGTATTTGTTCCCATTCCCAAGAAAGGTGATCCAACTGAATGTGGAAAATACAGAACAACATCATTAATATCACATGCATGCAAAATATTGCTGGAGATCATTCAAATCCAGCTAGAACAGTACATAGATAGAGAACTGCCAGTAGTTTAAGCGGGATTTAGAAGAGGCTGTGGCACCAGGGATATTACTGTTGATGTCAGATGGATCCTGGCTGAAAGTAAGGAATACCAGAAGAATGTCTATTTGTGCTTTATTGACTATGCAAAGGCATTTGACTGTGTGGATCATAACAACTTGTGGCTGACATTGAGAAGAATGGGAATCCCAGAACACTTGATTGTGGGTTTTGTATGAGTATGTGTGTGTGTACCGTCAGCTGGTGGTCTACATTTTTCACCCTCTCTCTCACTGGGCCAACTGGCAGCATCAGTATGGATGGTGAAAACATTGAGATAGTTAACAGTTTCCGTTTACTTGGTTCCACAGTCAACACTCTTTGTAACAGGAGCCAGGAAATCAATAGACGAATTGCATTGGGAAAGTCAGCTGTGAAGGACCTCTCAAGGGTACTGAAAAGCAATGACGTCAGGCGATAGTCTTCGCAATTAAGTGCTATGCATCAGAGAGTTGGACAGTGAATAGGAATGGTAGAAAGAGAATTGATGCCTTTGAGCTGTGGTGCTGGAGAAGAGTGTTGAATATACCATGGACTGCTGGAACAAACACGTTTGTCCTGGAGAAGGTGAAGCAAAATGCTCCTTGGAGTCAAGGATTCTGAAGCTTCATCTGACATGCTTTGGGCATGTTGCAAGGAGGGACTGATCCTTGGAGAGGGGACATCA